CTTTCCCTTCTCAGTCTCTCTCCCCTCAGAAAAGAATGACATGCTGACTCTTGACATGAAATACCTTGAAAGCTGGTCCAGGTGTTCTGTCCACATACGGCGTTTCTGAACCATCTAAACGCAAAGGGGTGCTTTCGATTTCACCCCATGTCATAAGAGGAGACTCATTCACACCTAACAACAAATTAAGAGTCAGACTGATGCAAGACATTTTTGTTCATCACAAAAAAAAAAATAGAATGGGGGAGGGGGGCAAACTATGAAATGCAGCAAATGGATCAACACACAGTGGAGCCCCTCCACCTGGAGGGGGAGGGAATCACATCCAGTGTTTAATAACAACAACATGTGGTTCCCATTAAGAGGGCCTGACCTTAAACCCACAGGATTGCTTATGGCTGTGTCACCCTCTAGGTTACAACACCCAAGCACTGTCCTTTCAATGCGTTTACTTTTCCATTTGGTGTGCTTTTGCTTAGAGACACTTTTATATTTTCCTCTACAGCATTAGTCTTCTGCTCTGCTGTGGTATGAAGGCTCCTTAAACACAGTGAACTATTTAAAAGCAGGAAAATGGGCAGAGGACTTTAGACAGATGTAACAGCCAGATATACTCTCAATTTGTCTTGAGGCTAGCATGTGACAAACTGACTATATCTTTCCTAAGCCTGATTAAATCACTGGCTAGAAAATCTTGCTGTCCAGGGTTTGGAAAAATGCATTTACACTGCAGAAAGGAGGTGTGTTGCAAATGCCACCTACAGGCTCTTCAGAGGAAAAGCCTCACTATGCTTGCCTTTCAGCATAGTGACAAAAGTCAGGGAAACAGTGGCTGGTGAAGAAAAGCTAAAAATTCAGATGCCATATTTGAACTAGTAGAAAAATAATCAATATGCTCTACCTAGAGGTACCCCACAGCTAACATATCTGAACAAAAAGAATCTACAACACACAAGCATTATTTGAAGGGAGAAAGAACCTAGAAAGCAGTAGAGCTGGAGGAAACCAGTAGACCACAAAGCAAGGGCAAGAAGCCACACCCCTGTGAGCCAGCCTGAACCATCACTCAGCAAACTACTGGACACACATTTTATCATGAATGCTCCCCATTCTGCAATATGAGCAACTGAACTTGTTGGAAGTTGAATGCTCGTGAAATGTTTGAGACCCTTATCTTTGAACACTAGAGAAGCATCGCCCAGGAATAAAACAAGCTCCATAGCACCCCAGTTGCCCAGAATGCCTCACCCCACTCTGTGTGATTTTAATGCAACGGCACAGCAGCGTGTTCAGAGCCTCTCAGACAGTGCACAACCTGTCTCCAGCAAGTGGACTAGAATTTAAGCATTGAATTGGTCTGGCATACACTACACACTGGAAAGCCACCAGCTCATGAGACATATACAGATAGATTGCTTATCTTCTTGTCTAAACACCAACAATGATACCCCAGTGCTGGACAAACAGTACATCAGAATAAATGTAATATTAGTCCTCTTGTAAGAGAGCAGCCAAGAAAATCCTCTTACCAGGGGCAGGAGAGGGAGTAGCCACAAATCCATATCCATTCACTTTTGGAGACTCTTGGGGTATCAGCTCTTTCCCATCTGGTCCCACTTTGCCCTGTTTGTACTGGGGAAAAAAAAAAAAATTGAGAGAGAGAGAGAGAGAGAGAGAGAGATCATTCATTTGCCTTTGAAGAAAGGCATCAATCAGTTGTATCCAGCACAAACACAGTTCTCCTGGTTGATGAGCAACACAGGAAAGCAGAGTCTAATAAGGTTTTGATCAGAAGCAGTAAAAGTTATCCAACCTGGGCATTGAGGGCTGCAGCTTGTTGGAGCTGGGATTTGCTCAAGGCTTGGCTAAAAGGGTCCTTCACAAAACGGGTGTTTCGATGGACAACTTCCCTGGGCTTCTTAAATACATCATCCTCATCAGGTACACCTGGAATGGTACACAGATTTCTAACAAAGGGCTCAGGTACTACTAGGCAATGTGCCCTGAAGTCCTCAACCAACGTGAAACTGGCCATACATTTCTACATGACAAAGAATCCAGCAGCAACTGCAGTTGTTTATCTCTAGCAATCTAAAATAATATTTGCATTAAATGTATGCTGTGTAACAGCTGAAAGCTAGGAATAAATTAAGATTAGAAAATAAATTAAAAAGAAAGTCAACAAGACTTTAACTTCTGCGAAACAGAAAATACTGATGGCACATTTACCACCAGAAAGGAAGCTGGGCTTACTAAATGATGTAGTTTTCTACAGCAACCAAGAGACAGCAAAGCCAGGGAGCACTGTGAGTAGGGGCAAAGGATGAATAAAGATGACAAGAAAGTGCTTGTAAATAAGATAAACCAAACTGGAAAGGGCTATGGCTCCTGAAAACAAGTGCTTCTATAATATAGATACTGAGGGTCCCGGAGACAAATGGAACATGATCAAGCTTTGCAGTCAGAGACAAAAGGAGCAAGATCCAGAGGAAAGAGAGGAAAAAAAAAATCTTATGTTAACTTCACATATCTTAGCTTTACAGAAGAAAACCAAAACACAGCATTGCCAGAAAGAACTGCTTAGTCAGCTACAGAAATACTACAGGTATTGTTTGGAATGAGCCCACCTAAACCAATGTCTCTACCGAGGGACCTGCATGCCTCACCTGTGGGATAATACATGAGGGAATTCCGAGCTGTGTACTCCCAGGTCTCCAGCCCAGCTTTCACGTTTTCAAGGGCTTGCTGCTCTGCTGAAGGAAGTGCCAGGTTCTCATTTTGTCGCTGAAAGGATGATGAGGAGAGAGAAAGAAAGAAAGAAAAAAATCAGGTCTGAAACAGACTCCTGCATTCTTCTAAGCAGGCATACACATCTGGGAGAGTTCAATCAACAGTTCAGCTACGTGCCCTCTCACACCTTGCATCTGCATGGCAAAAGCCTTCTCTCTCTCTCTCTCTCTGATAACTGGCATTCTGAAAACATCCTGTTTCTAAGTGAGCTTGCAAACAAGAACTCCATATGAAGGTCTGGTATAAAAATCAAGCGAGGACTAAAGACTTAACTTCTCAGAAAGACTATGTTTATGACTTTGTTCATTACATCTTGTAACAACACTTATGCTGGTTCAAGGTTCTTCTGCTTCTTCTCAATCTACTAATCAAAATTAAAACAAGGCCTTCATTGTTCAAAAAGGGAACAACAAGCTACATTACTCATATCTAAAGTAATGACAATCTACACGGCCAACTGTGTAACCTTGGGAGCCCTACTCTCCTGCAACCTGTATTATTTGAAGCAAGCAGCAACAAAAGACTTCAAACTTCTTGAATGTTCTCCCTAACTCAGAGAGCTTTCCTATATTTCCATAGGCAATAGAGCTATTGAAGCATTTGACATATTCTCATTGTTACCTGCATGCTCTTACCAGAATACTAGTACCACCAATATTAACAAGAAACGAGTAGAATGCAGTCAGTCACTGGTAAGTTACTCCATTTGAGAACTGTCACACCAGTCAAACTAGATGAAAACTGCCAAAAGTTATATTAAAGAGACTTTAACTGATCTTGTCTTCAGTGGGTATCATCTATATATTTTTAAAAAGCTATGTTGTCACTGAACACATCAAATGAGGCATAGTAAATTTGTCTGCTACACTTATAGGCATGTTGTGCAAGAAAACACAAGGTCTGGTCACAGAGTACTGGCTGACAGAAAGACACAGAACATTAGCACAAGATTGGCTCAGACAGCGTCACCTTCCTATCTCTCAGTAACGTGATGTGATACCGCCCCTCTGCTTTGGGAACGTTGTCCTGCTGTCTAAACTCTGGATTAAAGCAATGAAGATATGTAAGGGGTCAGAGAGGCCATGTTATTACCACAGATTCTTTAAGGGTTTACATTAGCTAGGATAAAAAACCCATAATCCTCACTTAAAACAATGGCAGTTAAGAATGCTCAAGAATCAGTGCCAAACTTCATTAAAAAGCACTGCAGCTTACATCTGTCACTGACATCCGGCAACAGTGCCAGCTGCTTACCACTGCTGATCAAGAAAGTCATGTCAGCCCCAAAACATCTCCTGTGTCTCCTGCTAAGCTAGCCGAAGACAATTCTTCAGCATAGCTAGCCATACTGTGTAAAATATTTTGTATCACCAGCTGAACAGATTATTACTGGTAATAGAAACAGAAAGCTGAAATGAGAGAAAACATCTAACCGCAAATAATAAAAGGCTGATGGACAAAAAACTGGAACTGTTCTTCAGCTGCTCTCCATTGTATTGGTGTTTACGGAAGAGATTGTCCAGAACACTAATACTTGTGCTTAGTGCTGTGCTTCACAGCTTCAAAGGTCTAGGCAGAGACAGATCCTCAGTTCCTCAGTGACTAAGTCAATATTGTCCTTGAGTTACAGATGGAAAAAACAGATGGCATTTTCCCTTTTGTATCATTTCAGAAGAACATAGATACACTGGAGCCATTTCCCTACCTGGGCATACTCCTCTTCTGCACTGTACAACCAAGCATGCTTGACTTTCTCCTTCTCTTTAGCCACTTCCATGATCTGCTCAAATGAAGCATTATCTTCACTCGTGTGTTTTGCTAAGAAGCTGTCCAAACTGGGAAGTACATCTTTATCATCTTTTTCTCCTTCTCCTAACAAGAGGAGGGAAGAAGCCTGAGAAAGTGATTAACACTTCCCTTTCTAGAAAGGAGCTATACATAACTCTTAATCCCTTCAGAGCTAGCTTTCTACTGACCCACTAATAATTAATTACAAAGCTTGTGAGAGGAAAAAAGTGTACACACATAATAGTACAATAATAAATTCTTTTTAGAAGATGTATAACTAATTTTCACATAAAACCTTTTATGGCATTTATAGCTATTCATGTTAAAGGAAAAACACAAGAGTGACCAGATGCTAGCAGACATTTTCAGTACCACTATATGGATAGCTTTGTTCCTGGTTTGTTGCTTACTGACAAAATTAATTTCATACAGCAGGAAGAATTTACTGTCTTCAAAGAAATGTTATGACTATGTAAATTCTCAATTCAGTTAGAGATTCACAACTGGGAATTCATACAGCTGTAAAGTATTACGTCCAACTTCAGAGTGATTATTTTCACTACCATAAGGTTAAAGGAGACTCCTTATAAAACCATTACAGGAGACAGAGCTCACAACAGTACTTTCCTGCTGCTGAAGAGTTCAACGAGGAACAACATTCCCTTACCTTCCTCTGCAGCTTTGATGCCAACCTTGGGTTTATTCACGAGCGGAAGACCACCTGGATGCACTTCAGGGGTTTCAAATGTGGCTGGAGTAACATCTGTGACAAAGAAAAAGATTCCCGTGGTTACTGGAGCACAGAGCAGGACATTGCCTGTGACATTTTGCAGCATAGTAAGGATCATGTGCCAAATAAGTCATAGAAGACATATCAAGAGAAGAACTATTGAATTAAAAAGGTGCGAAAAGACTTCAAAACAGTCTATGCAATTCAATTCCAAAACTAACAAGATTTCATTTCCATCTAAGACATTATTTTTCTTCTACTGAAAACAATACAGAACAGCTGCAGTCCTACATATTTGCCATACTGTCTACAGCTTCACCCAAAAAAAGCAGGCAGCAATGTTAATGTGGTAACAACCTTAACCCAGGTCAGTGCCAGCACCTACGATAGGGGAAGGAAAGGAAGCCGCTTGGTGACACATGTCCTTTGCCATGAGAGCGAGCTATACTCCATAGCAAGAACTTACCTAGGCACTGGGCTCTAGCTTCAGAAATATCTGAACATCTTAAAGCAAGTATACAACTGCACACTTGATACTTGCTATGTGAAGCTCTGATAATAATGAACTTTCAACACCCTCTGTCCCCAATATATTACAGTGTTATACCTCTACATATACAGCAAAAATACCTAACATTGTAATAATGATTCAAAAACAGTCTAGAATTTTTGACAGTATAATACTGCAAGTTAGAGCAAGTAACAGCCTCTCAAGAACAAGACTTGGAACAATATGCCTATGGGGAATAGTTATTCTATAGCTGTTTTTCCAAAGAACAATTCCCTCAAGGAATTATTAGACACCATCAAAGTCAAGTTCAGCAGTAGGTACTAAATTACTTGGTGATCAGATACTGGCTACTGCCCAATCTAGTATATTAAACCCCCCACAACGTCAATCTTGATTCTTTAAGATAATCTCTGCTTGCACAAAGTTAGATAAAAGGGAACTATAACATTAGCTATAAGCCATTATGTCTTAAAAAAGAAAACCTAATGAATAAAAAGCTGAGGTCCTAATCTGTTAAGATAACTTTTTCTCCTTCTTGCATAGCCCTTGGCATAAAAGTGACAAAACACAAACTTTTTTGTAGCAAGCCTCTATACTCGTAGCTTGAACGTGAAAACAGCCCCAGCGAGCCAGTTCTTACAGGGTGCGGGGGTGTCCCTTGACGATTTGCCCAAGGAGGAACCAAACTTGATAGCGATTTGTCTCATTTTCTCCAAGTCACCGTTTTCTTCGGCCTCCAGATATTCCTTCTGCGCTCGTAACTTCTCCACATCAGGGAAGAAGTCCCGCTGAATGATTTTCTCTAAGCTCTGCAAACAGACAGACGACTGTAAGCGCAGGACTCCTCGGCCGGGGGGGTCGCGCCCAGCTGCGCAGCGCGGTCAGCCCGG